AATTATAAAGCATCATTAAAGGAATTTATTTCTCAAATTTGAGAAGTCTGTAGGCACCTTTCATTTACTAGATCTTGACCTTAAGGAGGCTGGGGGGTCAACAAATTAACCACAAATTAACCACCAGATTTAACTTAATTTTTTAGATATGATATCTTAAGCTGTCAACTATCATTTGGCAAAGAAAAATTTCAAAAATTTTAGTTTTAAAATTTGATCATTTTCTATATCTTCATATGGAGCTCTTCTTCTAAAGGAGATCAATATAGTCTAAAAATGGCCACAACCCCCCAGCCTCTTTAAGGCAATATTATTGGATATGGTATTTAATTTATAGGTACTGTAAACATGATAAATCAGTTCACTTACTTCTTATTGGTCGTCGATTCAAATGGGATTCCTTCAGAAATACTGCATAGCTGTAAAATTTTAAGACCTAGCCATAGCAGATTTCACTTCAATAATCAATATTATCATACTGCTGCAAGGTTCTTATTGTGGATTTCACCAAGTACACATATTCCTTATATAAGTAGCTTCAATAAAGGGGCACTAGGTTAAATAAAACTATACATGCTGCTAGGCTGTGTTCCATATTTCTGAAAGTGCTTGGAGCATGTTGAATAACATAATTATGTAGTTTGTACAGTTTTCTTAAAAGTACATTAATGATTTAAGATGATTTTGAAAGTTATATAATGTAGAAAGATAAAATAATTTTTAAACTATTTTTAGTTTTATGCATTCCAATACGAAAGCTGCAGACTGTATACTAGTCAGCAATTTTTTGTTGTTGGCGGTGTTGTAATCTTTTAATAGAAGTTGTTGAAATACATGTACGACAGTTAAGTGTTCTATGTTAATGTAGAATGTGATGGAAAGGAGAGTCATGAATCTGATTTGTTTGATGTTTAATGTCCCTCTCGAGAAATTTTCACTCGTATTGAGACACCACCACTTGCCGGTGTAAAGACGAATAATGACCCCCATAGAATAATGACCGGGGGGTCATTTTTCAACGACAAAAAATGACCCCCAGCCGTAGAAAAAAATGATTTTTTGTAGAAAAAGAGCCCTAGGGGTCTTTTTTTTATGTGTGCGTCCTATAAAAAACTGACCCCCGTTGAAGAATGACCCCTTTTCCAACAGAGTGCATGATACAAAATGTATTACCGGTGATTGATGCCAAGGTTTGAACCTCAATGTTTAATATTCTCCTTTATGCCCTTTTTGGCCAATAGAATATTAAACATTGAGGTTCAATGTTTAATATTCTCCTTTATGCCCTTTTTGACCAACACTGGACGAACTCGCAAATAAAATAGCATTACATTTACATGCATATTTCTATCCTTTAAGCCTATTGTGTTCTCAGCACGTATTGAAAATCGCAAAATGGCTACTATTGGTTATAACTCTTAACGTAATTTCCCTTTATGACTGTCTTTTATTTGTTTCATATTTGGATATTTGACTGATTATATACATTCATAGCTAAATAACAGACGAGCGGGATGTTCTGGCTTTTCATTGGTAAACATGTCTCCCAAAGTAATCAGCATGCTTTGAGTAGGATCAACTTTCTTAAAAATGAAGGGAAAAAAGGAATGATATAAGTTTTCGGAAATAAATACGGAAACTTATGCAATGTAATATATAGGTATATTTTGAATGACATAAAAAGTCATGCAAATGAGGTAAAAAGAATCGAAAATGACGTAATATCTCGTGCGAACGACATACTGTGGATATATATATATGTATATATGTGTGTATATATATATATATATATATATATATATATATATATATATATATATATATCTTAATAAAAAAAGATAACGAACAGTGATGATTTTAAAATATCCACAAACAATACAATTCTGTTAACAGGACATAAAAAGGCCCCCGAAAATTGCAGAGGTCGGATCAGGTGCCTTAAAAGAGTAAGCATCCCCTGCTGACCTGTCACACCCGCCGTGAGCCCTATGAATAAATCAGGTAAACGGGACATTCCGTTGTCGAATTTAGTATAAAAACAAGGGTCAAACAATTGACCCATAGGTTATGTTTGTTGACAGGGTCATTGATACGACCATTGAATTTACGAAATGCTGACTTTAAACGAGGTTGTTGAAACCCCTGTCACATCAACTTACATGTATCTGTCAGTAGCCTGCCTCGATTTAAAAATTAATCGTGCTCTTGGGTATCGAATGAGTTGGTAGACGTAAACATTATATGCAAATGATAGCTGAATATTACTTCATAAATAAGGAAAGTTGACGATAGAAAAAGCTGAAATCATCCCGTTTGTCAGACAATTTATTTGTTAGTTGGTCTTTATCGTCTATAGTCAGTGGAATGTCCAAATATGAAGCAGACGTGGCAAACATAAGAAGGACACAAAATTTCTGCATGTCTGAAATATATTGTGCATTCAATTTTATTTATAAACAGTCGTCTACTCTATGGGAATTTCTTTTCAAATATATAGAAGTAATAAAGAAGAATCCCAGTATAATGGACATTCAAGTCTGTTAACATGGTCGTGTGAGAATAGGATACATATATGTACATGTAAGAGGAATATTTTTTTTGTTTTTCAAATCCACTTTAAAACAGTGATACATTTGTCAAATCAATATGGAAACATTTCAATGCAGTGTATATTGAAGTAGATTAATGTTTTCAATTTATAATTAAAGACAGACCATTTTATTGACCTTCCAGGTGAATATAAGGATTTATTTTTCCTACATTGAACTAAAAATAGATGAAAACAATTCTGAAAAGTTATTTCACCTGCATCTGAATTCCACTCAAGTGAACATAATATTCAGGTACAAAGCATCTGAGAAGAGGGAGGGATTGTTCCCCCCTTTTCTGAATGTAATTTTTAGCAATTTCTAGTTTGAAAACGTTCATTGAAAGTCTCGTAACCACCCCCTCTTTCTTATACAATATAGTTAAACAATCTCTTATACTTGAGTGGACAAGATGAACATAACATTGAGGCATATAGAATCAGGTGTGGGGTGTCCTCCCACTTCCATTTAAATGAACGTATTTTTATATTTTTTTCGGTTGAAAATGGTCATTGCAAGTCTGTTTGTCCTACCCCCAACTTTTTGATACAGTAGATTAAAAGGAAATCCCCCTTACATCAATAAACGTTTTGAGGGGTTCATCAAAGATATTTCTAAGGTAATTTGTCATTTTGCCTCTTATAATACGCCATTTCCCCTTTCGATGCTAGGCCAGACATTTATTTTTTTCTACATTGCACCAAAACTAGATTTCAAATGCAAAATTAATACTGGTTATGCTTATGTTAACTCCTATTCTTTCACTGTGTTTGGCTAGGACTGGAGCAAATGTAAACAAGAAACTTGACATGTCTGCTTAATCAGTTTGTATCAATTCAATCGTTGAATCATATAATAAAACAATTATTGCTGTTTATTTCTGTCAGAACGATCAGTGATTTTCCACCATCGAAAAACAATGCTCTCCTAGCCCTTTGAGCTCGATAAATCTTTAACTCCTCTAGATTCTGAATCATTGCATTGACCTTAAAACAGCAACAATTTTATAATGTAATGAGATCAACATATCATCGATTTATTCCCAATTTAGCTCAATTGAGCATTTTGGTCAACCGGTCTCTTGATTTATTATTTTTATTTTGCCCCCTAAAAATTTCAACTTTAATCCGTTTTAATCCACAAGGGGTCATTATTCTACGGGGGTCATTTCTCTTCACGTGGGGTATGCAGATTTTTAGGGTGATGACACTTTTTCTACGGGCAAAAGGGTCATTATTCGACGTCGAATAATGACCGGGGCTCATTTTTCGCTGTTAAATAATGACCGGGGGTCATTATTCGACGGCGAAAAATGACCCCTGGTCATTATTCTATGGGGGTCATTATTCGTCTTTACACCGGCAGAGAGCTGCAATTTTGACCTATGCTCGGCACTCAGGGCCATTGAGCAGTGAGGGATCTTTTTTGTGCCAGCACCGACTGTGACACAGACCTTGGTTTATATGGTTTCATCCAAAGGACCAGTCTCCACGTCCCACAGTGGGATTCGAACCTGTGACGTAAGGATTAACTCCTTACTCCGCGACTCTAGAGCAGACGCTCTTACCACTGCACCACGCGAGCTACTATCATGAATCTGAAGAAGATTAATTAAGGAAAGTATCTACATTAACACCCCTCCACTTCTTCATCCGATATAGTGTCATTTCTTAATTTACTTACTAGTTTTGATTTTGAACATATCTCTTTTTTATGTAAATGTACGTAACTCAATGAAAATTAGAATCAGCATCTAAAAATAGTTGTTTTTTTGTTTTCTTACTGAACATACATGTAGCATAAACATTTTTATTAAAAGACTGCATGGTTACTGGTGTAGGAAATATATGTATAAATTTTGTACGTTTGTCCTTGAACAATAGTGATATGTTATACATTGTATATTAATCCAGTAACCTTTGTCACAAACAACCAGTGCACAGAGATAAGTTTGTTTTAATCTGAATGGAAAATCCCAAATCTAAAAATAGAACACTATTACATAGTATTTAAAATGAAAGTAGAGCATCACCATAGGGTAAGTTCATTGTCCTTTTAAAAAATTATAGAAAGCATGAAAAGGTATTGAGAAAAACAGTTACATGTTACTCTTATAGAAGAAAAGAATGTTTGATATTTAGCTGCCATATTTATAGTTTGTCCTTGAACGTATTTATTTTTATAAAAGGAAAGCTCTATACATTTCAGGGAAGAAAAACTGAAACCTCAGTAGGCCTTACTAATGTCTATATAAAGAACAGGTAAAACAGATTAGGTAGCATTTGAGCCCAGAACAGAGTACATCCTTTCCTAGATGAGATAATTTGGCAAATATGTAGATGTAGTTTAACGTGTAAGTGAATAAGTCTTGATATATGTTTTAGATACCAGTACCATGAACTTAAAATGTAGAAGAAAACTGCAAACACTGACATACTGTTTCTGGAGGTAGGGATCTACTAAATCATGAATTTCTACGGACGGCCACCATATTGGAACAGGCCTCCTGATCGTAAGTTTTACTTGTTTTTTTGTGATACACAAAATCATGGATCTATTAGTTACATTCCAAGTAAGAAAAAAGGAATAAATCATTCTATTTTTTACCAGAGAGGTGAATCATATAGTATATATCAATTTATATTATTTTTCCTGTTTATTTCAAGATTGTTCTCTTTGTTAGTAGCTTTTGTAGTTAATGAACTACCTCACTGTAAACATCCAACATGAAAAGAACATCAAATGCGTGTATAGTTCTAATGTTCCAATACAAAATATTTATACCATAATGCTAAATATCTCCATGTTTGATTAACGTTTGGTAATTTACAAATACCTCTCTGTCAACTGTTTACTTTTTTGTCACTGACATAGCAAAATTTGTGAATACAGCAAATAGATACGAAAGTGTTTGAGCATACTAGATAGTTAAGCCTAGCAAACTTTCGATGTACATGTACCTTAGTTATCCTGTTGTTCTGTGCGATATAGCATTTGTGCAAATATCAGTTACAAACAAATGCAATAAAAAGCTGTGACCTATCTTTTGGCTGAGTTTGAAGTGAGGGAATTCAGTTCCTTGCAGCATTAGAACTAACGCTGTTTTTTTTTTGTTTTTTTTGTGACTCCTCCTAAGTAACGATAAGACGCAATGAATATTGTTTACATAAATTAATGTTAACTTTACAGTGATGTTTTCTCTTTACATTCTTAATCGGGGTGTTGTACAATATTTGCAATTTAAAACAGACATTCACAATTTTTCTACAATTGCTACCTTGCATTTTTGTGTTATGGAATTTTGATGATATTTACTCCAAATTGAAGTTCATAAAACATTTTGGCAGCTATGTTCCTGCACCGTGAGACTCAGAGGTTTCACCAAATGAAACAAGAAGCTCAACAGGCCCTGAACAAGAACAGATTACGTCAGGCAGCAGCATTGTACACGGAGGCCCTGCAAATTGCACAGGCATTCCCCCATCTTATGCAGGAGATGCCCAAAATTCTCAGCAACAGGTCCTTGGTTTTCTACAGACAGAGGGAATGGAAACGAGCTTTAGACGATGCCAATGCCAGCATTCAAATAGACCCTCTCTGGATAAAGGTAAAATAGTGTATATTATTTTTATCACATTATTATCACATTATTTCAAAGGTGTATAGAATCAATGTTTACTAATTACTTTAGCCCATCTCGTATTTTGTGTCTTTGTTTTTAGCTCAGGAATTAACATTGCAGCTGTTGCAGAAAAGTACAAATAGCAGCAACTGTTAATTCTCGTACTAACAAAGACATTTTATTGTTAATCTTTATGTGTGTATAAATAATCATATTATGTAGATTTAAGTAGGGTAAATATATGACTGCCGTCATGAGAAAAGGGCCCTTATCTTTTGACGTCACAATGCGCAGAAAACGACGTCAAAGACGCGGTATTGTAAACACGGAAGTATTTTTTGTCGAGTGCGTTTTGTGAACAAGAAATAAAATTGGATTCCCGGATGTTACAAGAAAAATATTAAATGATATGAAATTTGATGCGGAAATTTTTAAATAAATAATATAATTACATACTAGTACATACATTTATTAATTATTCTGTTTTAGTATTTAACTTGATATCACATAATTAAGCTAAACGAGACATTGAACTCATTGTTAATTACGACTATTTATAACGACGTGTTTATATGATGCATGACTAAAGATACTGTATATTTGTTGTCTGAGCAATTTGAAAATGTTTAAATTTGACTGATATTCAGTAGACTAAGTCTTATTATGAAATGGTATTCTACATACACGTATATAATTTTTTTTTCAGAGAGATGGGGAGAGAGAGAGAGAGAGAGAGAGAGAGATCAATGCACATATACACTTCTCTTTTTCTAAAAGAAAAATACCTTCATGTAAAATGTATTTACCCATTTTAATACATAGTAAATCATATCCATATGCGCAGTAAGACCAGCTCAGGGTGTAGCTGCAGAACTGTAGCTCTCTGCTTGAGAAAATTCGAACAGACAAAGAAGAGAGCTACAGATCCAAGCGTTGTAAAAACCTTCGATTTACGCCGCCGCTTTTTTGTCGCTCGCTTCGGGTATTATCTATTGTATTTAATGCTTTCCCCAGCAGAGAGCTACAGTTCTGCAGCTACTCAGGGTGAGGCGTCGATATCCAAATTTGATGGGGAGTGGGGGGGGGGGGGCAAATATCATTGAAAAGGAAAACATATCTGCGAATAAAAAAATCAATTGGTAAAAATTCATTCTAAAAAGAGAACCTTTCTTTTTTATTGGGGGTCAGGGAGTGGGTTAGATACTGGTATCATGGGATACTACAACACCGAATAAGGGGGGGGGGGGGCGGCCCCTATATAGATAATTCTTTGCTAAATTAACAGCAAGAACATATGCAAAGGGGAAAACGGAAGAGGGGGATACCACCGAAATTTTGCATAAAATAAATTATGGTTAAAAAAAAATAATTTTGAAATGATCAAATAAATACATAAAAAAGTAGTCTCTGATAAAATTTATGTATCAATTTTCTGAAATTGTTGCGATAAAAGCTGACTTGAAATTAAATTGCAATATGTTTAGGAAATAAATACAGCTATATAATGTGGACTTTTTCCAAAAGCATTATGATCAATGTTGAAGAAAATAACAGTAACATCGACGGTGATATTAAGATTAAAATGTTTATGAAACAGAAGAAAACAGATTAAACAATAGGTTATGGGCTGTAAAGAAATTACAAACTTCTTATAAATGTTGATATGGCGACATCTTTTGAGAATAAGTTTTGTAACAAGTGGTTATGGGTGTCATATTCAAATGTTAAGAAAATGTTCAAAAACATCAACCACATCAGTTGTAAGACAACAAAGACAATCAAGAAATCTAAATTTTGATAAAGATGGAAGAAAAATTAACACTGGTGATGTTTCGAGCGGAAAAAAAGGTTCAGGCAAAACTTTGAAAACCATAAAATATGTTAGAAAAAACTTTTTTTTTTGGTCGACTGTTGAATTCATGTACATCTGTATGTAATAAATTAGTCACGTCTCGTGTTAAAATCTTGGACGTTGAGTCTCTGCTTCGATATCTCGATGTCCCGGATATCTCGACATTTTTGAAAGTTCCGTTGCTATCGGGATACTGAAGGAAAATGATTAAACAAGCACACACATCTTTTTGATTTTAAAGAAAAAAATGTTTCTATGTCAGTCGTGTGGTAACAGGCAAAAATAAGAGTCGTTTTCTTTAATTTCGAGATTATTGAAACAATAACTAGGAAAAAAATGGTTTGTCTATTTTATCTTTAGCTTTCAAGACAAAAGCAGATACTAAGTCGCCTATGAAGGTGAGTTAGAGTGGTAGAGTTACAAACATTCAATGGGATATTGCTTAACCGAATCGCCTCATATACAAAAAAAGTATAAACGTGCGTCGGACGTAATATTTAATTATTGTTTAAGAATATATTTTATGTACATTCCATCGCATCGAAATATGAAAAACTTAGATGTCAGATTAACTGATGCCACAGAGGAAAATAAATAAATGACCTTAATTATGTTAAAATGCATATATTCAAGCAGGTCCGTAGCTACAAATTAAAATGGCGGGGGGCGGGGGATTACTCCATAAATCTGACACGCAATTAAGAGGGCTGGGTGGTTGTGGCCATTTTCAGACTATATTGATCTCCTTTAGAAGAAGAGCTCCATATAAAGATATACAAAAATGATCATATTTTAAAACTAAAATGTATGAAATTTTTGTTTGCCAAATGATATTTGACAGCTTAAGATATCATATCTAAAAAATTAAGCTATATCTGATGGTTAATTTGTTGACCCCCCAGCCTCCTTAAAAAAATCTATACTGACTAAAGAGTGGTGGTGGTGTTTTCGGGGGGGGGGGGGGGGGGGGGGACAACTTTCCAAAATAATCTGAGAAGCAGAAAATGGGGAAAAGCTTATCTGTACAAAAATCCTGGAATTTTTCAGTGCTCCACCTTACAACAACAGAAATTGGGGCGGGGGAACCAGCACCTATAAAAGGAAAATTTGCTAATACTATACTCAGAAAAAGTGGGGGCAGCCTTTTGATTAAGTGTGATTTGCTTAAAAAGTAAGAAGTTAGCAAAAATTTAAATTTTCATGTACGGAATAAACGTTCATAAAGCAATCCTTTGACATCATTATGTGCCTCTTTGTTATTTCTCCATCATATCTAAGACAGGCGAAGAAATTGAATTGTATAAACAATGGAAACTTAATTATTTATACATTTTTAATAAATTGTTCAAAAAAAAGTAAAAGAATAATCCCCTTGAAGGTTGTGAACAGATTTTTTTTATTTATGAAACTTTAAAAAAAGTTTACACATCATGGCGTATCTGAATTTATTTCCCGTTAGAATTTTTTGGTGATACAGAAAATACATGAGGTGTAATTATCCCTTCCTAACAAAGTTATAGGGGATAAAGTATAGTGCGTGTATGTGGGTGAGTGAATGCGTGCTTATAACCCAAACTATTTTTTTTAAGATCGGGATCGATATGCTCTTTTGCGAGGAGATGCCCCGCTTTAATTGCGTGAGGTGCCCTTCTGGGACACCTATATAGATCTTTTTATATTTTAATATTACAAGTGCTTTATATGTTTAATAAATTGATATAGAGTATTAAGTATAAAAAGAATACCTTGTGTGGAATTCAACAAGTATTAATTTTTCTACAATAAAAAACTGTTCCTAGATCCTGTCTAGACCCCACCCCTCCCTCTACGAAATTACTAGATCTCCTCTAATATAGTATGAAAAAAGTATGCGACTCCCCTTATGAATAATTACATACTAGTTGCTTGGAAGAAAAAAAATCAAGTTTATATGTGTTAAAACGATTAAGGTTATTTTAAAAATGTAGTTTTTAAAGAATGCTTGGAAACTAATTTGACGCACGCGACGTCATTACATTTTCAGTGAGTAAGTCAACGTTGTTTTGAAGCGGCCTTACTAAAATGTCATAAAATACTGAAAAAATGAGATATTTTTAAAACATGTGCATATTTGCATTCAGAAAGAGTCAGGCTATCAAAATTTACCAAAAAGTCAATTTGTGAAATTTTGACCTTAAGGGCCCTTTTCTCATGACGGCAGTCATATGTATTATTGATGTTTACAACATTGTAAATTTCAATGATTGAAAAGCACACTGCAGAAGAAATCAACACAGGTGGCATGAAAAACTGGTTCTAACCCTCTAACCGACATTTACTAATTGATGAAAGAAGTGGTTTTCATTAGAAATAAAGGAGAAAATCTTTAGAGAATGTAAATACACTGTATATTATTACCTAACCTACTATATAAATTGTAATTAGGCATTTTTAACTGTTTCCTGATTCATTTTAATGTTTCTGCACATCATGAAACAGTCAAAACTGTTTACCCGGTCACAGAATGAACTGTTGCATGGCTGAAGTGATCCATTATGATGTCATAATTAATTTCCCGTACTTTACAGCTATAATATTGAATAATATTTTCATGGCAATAAATTTGAGATTATCATTTGAAGAGTAATCCTGATACCCATATAAATATATATTCAATTTAATATAATTTCAAAGAAGAGGCCAAGAACACCATTTCTGAGGGTAATTTGGGAAAAACGTTGGCCCCTTTCACTCACTATAGATCTTAGGCTTAAACGTCCGACTCAGCGTGTTATATTCAACCTTCAAGTCATCATTATGTTGGTTACTAAACTACACGTAAACATCAATTTATTAGTGCATGATACATGTAATAATAAGAAATAATACAAACTGTTGTTGATGTGTCTATATCATTACTTTATGAAATTATATAGTAGGTTAGGTAATAAAACACTTATTTCGTGACAACTCGGGAAACAGTCAAACTGTTGTCCCTCGATAATGGGGAAGACCTGGGAAACTGTTGCCCGAGGCCGAAGGCCTCGGGCAACAGTTTCCCAGGTCTTCCCCATTACCTCGGGACAACAGTTTGACTGTTCCCCTCGTAGTCATGAAATAAGTGTATACTCTTTTTATCTACAAAATATATAAT